TTTTTATAAACATTTAAGTCACTAATCTCCTATGTCATTTTAGTCAGAACACTATGTAAAGGATACAAATATCTTTAGTACTTTTTAAAAAAGGATCAACATACAAATCCAATTTCCGGCACACTGGTCTACTAAGTATGATGCCAAATCAGGTGACTGAGCAGCAGTAAAACCATTCTGTGAGTATGTGACCTAACCAAAAACCCAAGATCTTAAAATACAGAAACTCTAAAATGAAGGCAAACATACATCTTCTCCATATTCTTTATTCTCAAACATGTGTATGCAATCATTCACAATAGTCAGTAGGATGTCTTGATTATGGTCAATGCACGTCCGGATCTTGTCCAAGTGAAGAGGAAAGTGTGGAAGGAGTTTCTGTTGATTAGCTGGAAGTGATCGAAACTGTCTTTCCGTCCGGTGCACTCGCTCATGCATACTGGTGCTAAAACACAAAAGGTGTTTTTAAAATTGGCAAAAGAATTCTCACCAGAGACCAAACCTATTTAAGGTTGTTTTTTTCTGTACAGTTATTTCCTTTAACGCTAGGATAGGTACTGTTCTGCCATTAACAAGCTTCTAGCTAAATAAATGTCAACTTAAAAGCTTTTATTTTCATTTTTATAATTTTTTCAGTAAGCAAACAAGTGAAAAATAATTTATGACTAGTGAAAGTGAACTTCTGCATTAACTAGATGGGGGAGGGCATAAAGGAAGTTAATTGCAATCTGTTTACTCCTGTAATTCCAACTTTTAGCAAAACTATTTGAGTACTTTATAGATTCTTCCACCAGTTTAGTAGTAGAATGTTGCTTTGAAACTACTTATGAACACAGATAAAATGTGTTTGGGGTAATTATTAAAAGCTACCAAGTTAAATTTCTAAGGATTATATTAAAAGATCATATTTACTACAAAGACAGTAAGCACTTCAAGAATCCACAGTCTATAGTATTTTACATAAGATTCACAGTTGGCATTCTAAAAGTGTCTAGGTAACTTTAAAGGCCACTTAGAGAAATACTCATGTATAAGATCACAACAGAAAACAGCATTTTTAAAAGTTAAAGACACACACACACACACACACAAAATGAAACAGTTTTGTATCAATCAGATGGGTAAGCCTAAAAAACTTAAAAGTCTAACAATTTTTAAAATTGACAAAAATGTAGAATAAGTACATTTATACACACGGCTGGTGGGTGATTTGAGCCCTGGGGCACAGAGGGTTAGGCACTGGGCTGCTAACCACAAGGTTACCAGTTCGAAACCACCAGCCTCTCCAAGGGAGAAATGAGAGCCTTTCCAGTAAAGAGTGAAGGTCTCAGAAACCCACAGGGGCGGTTCTACCCTGTCCTACAGGGGCACTATGAGTCGGAATTGACTCAATAGCAGGGTGTGAGTGGGGCTGGACATTTTGGGGGGAAAATTAGCATTATCACATGCCCTGTGAAGTAGCATGTATACTTCTAGGCAAGCATATACCTGTAATAAGCCTGCACACGGGCACAAGAAATATAACAATATTCATCAAAACAATGAAATCAGAAATGAAAAATTTGGAGACATCACAGATGTTCATCAGAAGTAAGTTGACAGAAGAAATTATACAGCTAAACAATAGAATACAATGAAAGAAATAACATTTACAGACAGTAAAATGGCTAAAACTCAGGTATGTAATACATGTGAAAAAAATCAATTTGTATAAGAATACATAATGTACAATTCCACTTTATATAAAACTAAACAATATATTGTTTTAGGGACCAAATACACGTGGAAAAACTAAGAGTAAGGAAATGAAAATTCAAAGTTTTCTGAAGAAAAAGACAGGATAATTTTCTTTTTTAAGACAGAATGGTTAAGCTCATAGGTGACAATTCACTCTAACTTACATTTTATATATATACATATATATATATACATGTAAACTTACATGTACTCCTATTTCTCTTACATATTCTTTTGCATTTACTCTATACTTAATGAAAATAATTCTTCCATTTTTTACCATTTTATGCCAAATTACTTTCTAATTAGTAAAGAAATTCAAAAAGTTCTGAACAAAATGTAAGCAAAATCTGGTATGTTTTTGAAGTTTATGCATTTTCTGTTGTTGATGTTCTTCTTTGAAAGGAAGGTGGTCGGAGTTAAGACTTGTGAGGGATCAAACTGGAAGTAGCTGCTTTGTTTGCTTTCCCCCCCTTAAAGACAATGTAAAAGGGAGCCTTGAAGTAGGATGTATGTGGGTTAAAATCCAGAATGGGCCAGCTACTTTCTATGTGAGCCCAGACGAATTAAAATTACTTCCTCACCCTGGGCCTCAGCTGTGCTATCTATGGAAACAAGACAATGAGTAACAAAAAAATTAACCATTTATTGAAGTTCAATAAATGCTAGACATGAATACTCTGAAAAATCTCCATAAAATCCTGAAAAGTAGGTTAACAATTTGTTCCTCTGGCTAGCTGATAGGGGTTCATTAAAAATCAAACAGAATAATGCAAGTATAACACTTATCCCAGTGCTTGAAATCACAATAAGTGTTACAAAAAGTAACAGGTGTATCTAATTTAAACAATATGTTCCCAAGGCTTGAGGGGGTGGGGTGGGGGAGAGCAGGGCTACAAATAATCCTCCCTATAGCAGACCCTTATAACCTTTGTGGACTATTCATAACCATTTTGCTGCTGGTACAGTCAGCTAGTATACCTTTCCATTCAAAATGGGGCACACAGAACAGCCATGTCTTGGAAGTGGTTAGACTGTAGAATCTAAGGCCCCTCCCAAACCAACTCAATTAGAACCTGCCATTTCAGAAGATAGTTAAAGTTTGCGGTGCACTTGTAACTCTTCGTTTACCCTTATCCTAAGCATTTTCTTAGGCCAGAAAAAGTTCTCAAACATAGTCTATAATGACTGTTCATAGTTCCATTATATGTAGCCAAAATTTACTTATTATTTTCCAACTTCTGGGCAGAAACTTTATTGTTTTCAAAACTATATTTGAGAGAGGGGCAATAAGACAAATTCCCCAAAGAATTATCAGTTCAGATGGGATAAGTATGTCTAAGGTTCTTGACACATTTATTTTCAGAAAGATGTTACCAATTTGCAATGCTCTCAGTAGAGCGAGATGCTAAAGGCACTAGGTAAAATGACCACAGTCGGGCAACTGAGGACACTCATGGCTCAGGGTAGACCGCTTGCCTTTCATGTGGGAGACCTAGATCCAATCACCTCAAGTGCAGCCTCTGTCAGTGGAGGCTTACATGTTGCTGAACATGTTTCTGAGGAGCTTCAATCTGAGACAGACTAGAAAGAAGACTTTGTAACCTACTTCTGAAAAATTAATGAAAGCCCATGAGTACTCTATGGATCACAAAGGTCTATCTGCCGCAAACGGGATGGCACAGGACCAGGTAACATTTCAAGAAACTGTCTCCATGGAAGATAATAGCAAGGTAGGTTCACAGCAGTGCTGCTGGAGATGAAGGGGCCCTGGTGGCAGTGTTAAGGGCTTGGCTATAACACAAAGGGTGGTTTGAATTTTTGAGCTTCACGAGAGAAAGACTTGGCAGTCTGCTTCTGGAATGATTACAACTTTGGAAACCCTATGTGCCAGTACTACACAGTCTTATAGGGGTTGCTGTGAGTCAAAATGGGGTTTGAGTTGGGGGAGGGAAGCAATCAGTGCCACAGTATTTCATTCCTAGTATTCTTTAGATACAGAATGCCCTGCAATCTCTTGCTCAAACCTGAAATCTCAACATATAACTTTAAATACTTCACTCAAAAAGTCCTCCTCTTTTACTACTGACAAAGAGGAATGGAACCCCATACATCTATCCCAGCCACAACCCCACCTCCCCACAGAGGCACCCTAAAACGCCTCTTGTCTCACTGTCTACAGTCTTTGATTCTGCTCTTTTAGACAATCGCCTAATTAGCTCATACTCTCATGATGTCTCAGAAAAACTACCTAGAATCATTATTCTCTGCCTAGAAGTAATAGTCAGGTGAGATTTTTAAAACTGAAATTCAGAACTAATTTTAAGTAACACATTGGTTTACCTAGCAGTCAAAAACCGACAAAACTACAGAGTAACAGACTCTTTGCTTTATAGTTGTTGGAAACAGAGCATTAACAACGATGCCAGGCCCTGGTGCAAACAATAAAGCGTGGGCTCTGTCCTTGAGGAGGTCACAGGCAAGCAAGATTCAGCTACTGCAATACAAAGAAGAACAAAGTTTGCCTAACACTCAGCAGGGGCCCATGAAGGGCAAGTTTTGCCTGCAAGGGGTGTCCTGTCGGTCTAACTCCAACTGCGGATGCAGAACATAGCTTTCTGTTGACTCTCTTACATGAATAAAAGTGTTACCTTTAGCTGAAAACCCAAGTGACTTATATCCATTCCTTCTGTATCTTGGAATGATAAACTTGTGATTAAACTAGGTAAACAGCTAAATGACATCCACTGGACATGAGAAACGTAGAAGTGCACTCCATCCTGCCCGTAGAAAATATATTTACCCGATGAATAAAAAGATGGCTGATATGCATTGCCCTCATTGATACAATCAAGCTTCAGAACTTAAGGACCTCTCCTCCGAATCCCCCCCCCCTTAAAAAGAGCAGCAGCCGTCAAGCGCGCCCCACAAACGTGCACGTGCCTGCACAGCAACCAGGGGGGTAGGTGACGTAGGTAACGTGGAAACCTCCGGCTGCTCACCAGGCTTGGAAACCATTTAGCGAATCGTGTCCTACGGCATCCCACGTGCAGGTGAACTTGGGCCCGCCGTCTGCTCCGTTCCGAGGGCATTGACCACACACACGAGATCACGCCCAGCCGGGGGCGACTTCACCACCCTCACCTTCTAGATCTGGCCGGGTGACTGCACTTCCTCGCTTAGCTTTCCTTCGGGTCACCCCCAGCGGCCTCCTAGCCAAACCCTGAACTCGGAAGCAAGACGACACATCTAATTGGATCCGCCGGTCAGAAGACCCGCGGCTGGGCAGCCAGACAGCACGGCGCGGCCGCGGGCGCGCAGGGCCCCCAGGGGGCTGG